GCGTCGGCAACCAAGCATTAATCGGTACAGTTACGCTTTCCAATGCGACGAGTCTGATCGCTGACAGGGTTCTTGCTGGACCCGCCGTCCAGAATCCTCGTTTCATTATGGAACATGCTGTCATGGGTGGATAGCGTGTAGCTGTCAGTGTCCTTGTTCCTAACTGTATTTTTTTATTCTTTATGGTGCCATGTTTCATCTTTGGTACGTTTGTCACTTCAGAAAAACCAGAATGGATGTGACCGACTGTACCACGACAATGGCACTTGCGCACATCAACACATGGCTTTTGTTCTCCGACGTCTGATACAATATTGCTGTCAATCGAAGCAGAAATTTGCATGCCCATATCTACAAATTTTTAAAAAGCGCACTCTCTACTTTGACAACGTAAACCATTTTAATGCCGTGCCGTCAAACCTGGTCATGAAAACCATGTGAATTCCAAATTTAAGCAAAGTTGTAGCGCTGTTGAGCATCAGCGTGTCTATATTGCCACACGCATCGCTCATCATCACCAAGTATAGATGATGCTAATGCCAGCCCTCCTTGGCCTCTAGCTATGCTGTATATGAAGTGGTACATCTTGTGCATTGAGATTTCACCTGCCCTGGTAGGAAGGGTGTGGCCACACCATTGTATGGCCACACTCAAACAAGTAGTCAGTACATGGCTAGAATAGCCGGTACTTTGCATTTAATAAGTTTTATTTATACGTGAAAACCTACAGATTTCGATGTAGGTGGCTTTGCCGCAAATAAACCAAAAAGAACAGTTTACGTTTTGAACGGAAGAGTTGATTAGCCTTGAGCTAAGGTTGTAGTTACTCTTGGAGTAATTGGATTGTGGTCCACTACACTCGTACTGGCTCTAAGTATGGAACGAAGGTCACCGACCTTAACACGCTTTCTCCAAGCGAACGAGTTACGGCAGCCCCGCTGCACTTGGTAGCACTTGTAGTCGATCTACACCTTAATCGTAACGATGACCCTCTGTGAGGATGGAGCAGTCCTCTTAATCGCCCCAGGACATCCAAGACGGGCTTAAAAGGCTGGTGTCTCTGCTTGGCCCTGAGGCGTGCAACACCTTGCTTCGCTAGGACCTGAAGCGCCTAGAGGCGATTTCAAACTATGAAATTTCTCTGCTAGAGCACCTACAGAAGAAGATGCCGGCGTCGACTGCATCCACGACGCCATCGTCGACGACAGATGACTCCTCCCAACCCAAGCCGTTCATGGTGAGTGTTTGAATCTTAGAGAGCAGAGATGGACAGAATGTTCTGCTCTGGATGCGAGAGGTCAAGATTGTCATGGCGTCCGCCATGCTCCAGACCGAGCAACAGCACATAGTACAAGCTATCTCCAAGCTCGGGGGTCGAGCGCGAGAATGGGCACTAATTTGCAGCACTTCGATTAAAGCGGTATTTCTGCAGCGGAGCTGCCATAGCTTTTTGCTTAGAGGAAGCTTACTAAGGTCATCGACATTACGTTCTATACCTTAACCAGTATGAGTGTCGCAGATCGCGATCCGCTACTTCCAAGAGTACCTAAAAACCTTACCCAAGGCAAACGTACTTGCAAAGTATAACGGATAACGTCCGCTTTTGCAAACGAAAGTGTTCACTTCAAAGGAGATGATATAGGACCTGCTTTAAAAGTCGCAACGAAGATTGAGAGTAAATGTTATGCAAGCAGCAATTTAGGCATTTTCAACTGGATCGGCATTAAATTTCAGCATGGCAATACCATAAGTCAAATTTTGGCACCACACACTTCACACTAAGTGAAATATTTGCCGCGGTCACGGGACCACTTCTGCAAGGAGGCAGAACTCTTTCTGACGCGGGCATGACAATGTGATTGATAAAATGCAAGATATGAATTTTCTCGAACTATTTGACGGCAACGTTGTAATTGTTAAACATCACTGAGTCGTGAGCTCTAAATGACATGGGGGTAGCGGTCGTACGTTTCAGTCAGGGTACGTCTATGGGGTGACGGATATCTGATGCCGTAAGCAGGCTCTTCAGAAGAGCGACTATGTGTCGCGATTTCAAGGAAAATAACCGGTAAAAAACGGGACCAGACCATGATAATATTAAGAATGCTCCATGATATATATCAATACTGTGTAACGCGCCCACCGTGAAATTGAAAAAGACGTAGCGAGAATTTGTATTTTATTTGTTAATGCTGTGGCCAGCAGTCCTAACGGGTTGCAGTGACTCAATCATGTCACGATGAAGCAACACTGCTGAGTCCGCAATACTGGGTAACGCGCCCACCGTGTAGCGTAGTGAATATTCAAGAAGTTGCGACGGAAAAGTGTATATTTTGTAGATGAAGAGGCCATGATAGTCCTAGCAGGTGGCAGCCTACTATCGCTATCCCATTAAAAGCTCTACTGCATCCTGAAAAAGTATATCTGCAACATGTTTTCGAAGGATTGCAAGACAATCGACTCGCTGTTTCCCGAAATATTTTTCCTTCCATTTACCTTAAAGTCAAAAAGATGTCCATTTTTAGATGCTTCATTGAAAAGCATTGTCTGCAGAGATATCCCGCAAGAATGGCCATAATCGATACCCAGCGCCACCATTCCAAAGAGAAAATAAAAGTGGCTCAGTTCGAGCAACAACTTTGATAGTTATTTCGTAATTAATATGCCGACGTGACACGGTCCACCACCATTCTTCTTGAAAGAATTACATGCTGATGAAGTACGGCAGAAGAGGCGGCCTATAGTGCTGTGACGTAAAACATTGAGTGTGCCTTGATTCTGACCCTTCCAAGTTCAGATCGGTCATTTCGTGTCGTCTGGGACGCTTTGGCCTATACTATGGGCTGCGCTCTGCCTCAAGTAGACACCAATGGCATTAAAGCGTCATCGCATCTGAGCATCGCCAGCTTACAGGGGCAGCCAAGAACATTCCCCTCATGACAAGGAGGTAATCCTTTTACAGGACACTATTGCAAGTTCAGGATCGCGTTGACGAGACGACGCGTACGACGTACGGATCAGATGCAACGTGTGTGCATTGCTAAAAGGTTATGAAAGAATTGATTTTTCAAGGTTAACAATTCCTTAATCAAAGCAATTGATAGCGCGTTTGCACCGCCATACTCGTCCCAAGCATTTCCATGTTACAGCACTGACACGTTCACACTTACCGTTGATTTCTCCTGATGAGGATCTCGATGGACTAGATTTGTAACGGGGTTACACGTACCCTGGTAGCAGAGGTGTGTGTCACACGAGATGGGCATGGTGTGACTGCACCCAAATAAAAGGCACGTGGCTGGGTAGCCAGTAGTTATGCATGTATTGCGATTTTACTATATATATTCAGGAAAATCTATACATTGAAAATTAGGCGGCTTTGCCGCAGATAGAACAAAGAATTACAGCTTATATTTTAAACATAAGAGTTTATTAGCCTTTGGTTAAGGCAATAATCACTCTTGGAGTAAGCGGATTGCGATCCGCTAAAATCGACTTATTCTAAATATAGAACGAAGGGTCGGTGACCTAACTTACGCTTCCTCTAAGCGCAATGCTACGGCAGCCCCGCTGCACTTGGTAGCACTTGTAAGCAATCTACACCTGAGTCATTTAGACTAGACTCTGTGTAGAGAAAATTTCCTCTTTGCCCCAGAGCATGCAGGACGGACTTAAAAAGATGAGTTCCTTGCTTGGCCCTGAGGGCGCGCAACACCTTGCTGCGCAAGGCCCCGAGGCAATCAGTGCGCGTCTAGAGGCGTTTTCAATTACGAAAACGCGCTGATAGACCACCTGCAGCAGAAGATGTCTGCATCGTTTGCGTCTATGACGCCACCGTCAGTGACGGAGGATTTTTCCCGACCTAAGCCGCTCTTGGTGAGCGTTAAGTTCTTCGAGGGGAAGGATGGAGAGAATCTCCTGCTCTGAGTGAGAGGAGTCGAGTTGGCCATTGCATACGCCATATTCCAGACCTAGCAACTGCGCGTGGCGCTAACCATCTCAAAGCTCGGTGGTCGAGCGCGAGAATGAGCACTGACGTGCGGCACGTCGGTCGAAGCTGCGTTTCCCTCCTGGGCGAAACTAATATTGCAGTTCTCACGAGTGTTCTCGCCGCCTGATAAGGCATATCGCGTGCAATCGCGTTTCCTTGCCACCCGACAGGGCAACAAGGAATTGGTGGACTTTGTGCAAGAGTACGATGACTCGACTTGGTAGATGGATATCACCAATTGCTCATGAGAGCGAGTGATATTCCGCTGACAGCGGTAAGCAATTGCTTTGGGAGTGGCTGGTGATGTCCCGAGGGCTGTCAAATGCACCAGCAACATTTAATCGACGCCGTTGTTCAGGCCCCACAGGGCGTATGCATAGACGTACTTTGACGACACTTTTGTTCACAGTCGTGCGAAGCACGGGAGGACGGATGAGTAGAACCACATCGTCCATTTAAGAGCTGTGCTCGAGTGCATGCGTATGGATAAACTGTACGCCAATGCAGACAAGTGCATCTTTGGTGCATAAGAGATTCTATTTTTAGGGTGCTTCATTGGGAAGCGTGGCCTTCGAGCGGACCCCGCTAAGGTTAAGGTCATTGTATACTGGCCGATTCCACAGAACCAGAACGACTTGCGTTAGTGGCTTGGTCTCGCCAACTATTTGCACAAGTACAGCGTAAATTACGCAGAATTGGCTCTGCCATTATCCAATCTCCTTAAGAAAGATGCGGAATGGTGTTGGAACACCGACCATTAAGAGGTTTTTCACGGGGTCTAAGACCGCCTCTTGCATGCACCAATACTGGCGCTGCTAGACCCTGATCGTCCTTTCAGCGTCGTCTGTGATACTTCGGACTTTGCCATCGGCTGTGCACTGCTGTAAGCAGACGCCGAGGGGCGAGATCG